AACTGATGTATTTTAGTCTCATACTTTTTATTAAATGTATTTTAATTTCGTTTCATTTTCATTTTAATGTATTATTCCTTGTTTTTAGTAGATTTTTAAATTTGTTGGTAAAATTATATTTATAGATAATATATATATATATATATATATGATGTGGAAATCCATTAAACTCTTTGGAGTGTTATGAAGTATGGGTATAAAATGATAAAGTTGTATGATAAGTGGAATGCTGTCGATGACACTCTGGGAAGATGCCCTAATAATTAATTATTTTACAGGTAAAAGCTCCGTTTTTCCTTGCGAATTGTGTGTCTGTGGTCTGTGGATGCTGCAACAGACTACAAACAAAAACATGACCCATGGATGCACCTTTTATGTGGTGCAGAATATTAGCGTGTATCTTGGTGGTTTAGCAAACTAACCTGTCATCATCCCCTCCACAATGCCAGGGAATACTACTACATATTTTCTTAGCAGCATTACGTCGAACACTTTTCAAATTTCAGGCCCAGAACCCAATTACTCGCCGGAGAATCATGGCCGGCGTTCTGAATTTCACGTCATTACCACCGGTTTCTAGACCCCTTTGGCGTCAGCACAAAGCAAAAATACCAAGTAGTAGCAGGGTTTCTGTAATAAGATCGTCGACAGAAGTTTCCGAGACATCTTCTACTCCTTCTATTTCGATTAAAGAGGAACCACAATTAGGGTTTTCTGTAATCACTCCTCCGCCCAACTTCAAGGCTCCTGAGCCGAAGCGTTTTGCGGTTAGGCCGGATAAGGTTATCGACGTTGTTACTGCTAGTCTGAACCTGTTGTTTCGATTAGGGACTGGTGTTTTTGTTTCTGGGTAGGCTGTTTTATTGTTTTTCAATTGGAATTTTTCGGTATTTGATAAACCAGCTATGAATCGTTAAGTATTTAGGTATAATCTTTATAAACTATGAATGGCACAATGCTTAGGGATACTCAATTCAAAATGATTGTTTGTTCAACGATCTGAGTTTAGAATCATCCTTCTAATTTCAACCTATTTAAATACCCATTACATTTACCAATTTAAACAAAATTTAATTTGTGTCAGAAATTCAATTCTTTTTTTGTTATGTGAAGTCGTAGTTGTTTCTGAGTACTTCAAATTTTAATATGTGATCTACAGGTATTCAGTTTCTTTTGTGCCAAAAAATGAGATTCCATCCAGCCAATATGGTCTCGAAGTTGCCGGTAATGATATTTGCTGATCTCATTGTTGCTGCTCATGGGTTTATATCTTTTTTTGGAAGTCCTAGTATTTAAATATGGCAAATACTTACGCACATACGGACATACCTCACCTATGGTGGAGTTTGAACACATGACCTCTAGTGAGGCTAGGATTTACTGATAAACCGGATACAATTTTCTGCCTTCAACTTAGATACCCCAATCTGATTCTACATTTGACGGTTTCTGTAATTTTGCGCCGGACTTCCCTATCTTGTTAAAAAAGAAAATCTGATTAGAATATCTTCAGTTTAACCATTAATCGCTAATATATGAGGTCTTCTATGCTTACAGGCTTTGTTGCAAAAGAAAGCTCAAAACTAGGCCCCCGACCGGAAAAGCCTATTGAGATATACGAGTTTGAAGGGTACTAAAAGAGAAAATCTGTTTTCTATTTTTGATATCTTAGTTATTCAGACCCGACAAATGCACTTGCGAAATATTATTTCGTCTTTTGATTATGTTTTTCAATTTTAAAGTCTTTGACACCCTAATGAATTGAGACTGAATCCATTTAATTATTTTTTCATCATTGTGCGTTGTGATGGAACATGTGGAAACTTCAGCTGCCCTTTCTGTCGGAAGGTAAGATCCACATTTATGGCTTATTGTTTCTTATTCATGAAGAAAATTTTTAATTCCTTGTTTTGCAATTCCCACATCGAGATAAACTTAATAAGATTCAGGAAAGGGATGAATCCAATGAATTATTTGAAACAATATTGCTGAAATTGTCGAAATTGCTGGTAGTGGTCATTTGGTAGTTTGAAACCCATGTGAAAATTGGTTTACCAGACCTTGTAGATGCTGAAATGACTGAAATCATTACTGGAATCTTATTTTGACAATTCCTTACTTAGGAGCCCGACTATATTTGCCAATATTTCTCTACGCCATACACACGCACACACATACTGATCTCACAATGACAAAATCAAATATTAGCTACTTCTTTGACTAGTTTTGTTCAACGAGGTTCAACATCTTTCTTCAAGAATTCACTGTGATACAACCTTTTTGTGTGCTCACTTGTATTTACAATTTTTTGGTAGAGCCTGGAGTTTGTAGGTGATTACGATTGTGTATTAGTATGACGACGAGGAGAGAACGCATAAAGGACACATGAAAAAGATAACTTTCTTTAAAAATTATGATATCCGCACTTCTGGCCCAACTACTTCACAAGGTTCATGCAAAATGCCCAATTTCACATGGTCCGGACAGGTTTTAGGTGGCCACCAAGTGTGATCCCTAAGAAGTTGTTAGCACATGTGTAATTTCAACTTGAGACCTCCTAAATCAAAGTCTGGAGTCTTACCTACTAGGTCAACCCTTTGGGGTTGCTAGAGAAACTGTTATGCGGTCTAGATTCAATCACCTCGTTTTTTTTATTTCATATCTTGACCAAACTCTGTAGAGGTAACTGAAATGACAAAATGCCACTTCAAAAAGAATGGTGATAATTGAAGTTAAATAGGGGTTCTGGGCTTGTTGTTAATGGGGTTGCTCGGTTTGGCCGAAACCGAGTAAACGGGCTAAACCGAAGCAATTTGGCTGTGTAGGACATCCTCTAATCTGCGGCTGGTTGGAAAAGTTTGAAACTGATATTTGTGGTATGGTTTACGTTTTTTTAGTGGCAAGCTGGCCATTTTAGTCTAACCTAACCATAAATATTAACAATATATTAAAGTTTCTAATAAATATTAGCTATTAGTATGTAGTCCAAGGGTATAAATCCATTGTCCATTTTTTTCTTCTTTGAACAATGATGTATTCTAGAACATGAATGATTAGATATGTTTTTGAACATGGATGGTCAGATGTGTATTTGTTAATCTAAATGGTTAGATGTGTTTTTCTCCATGTGAAAATTGACCCCCAAAAACTCAAACCGCCAAGCCGGTGAACCATACCTGTTTCAGTTAGTTTTGCCAACCCAGTTGAGTCCATTAATTTGGACGATTTGGTTTGCAAAATTTTCAAACCGGACTTGCTAGTTTGACCAAAATTGTACGGCCTAAACCAACTAAACTGAACCATCTATGCCCCTACTTGTTGTAATTGTTGTTGCAGATTAAGCTAACATGTTAAAAATGAAAATGTTTCAGAGATTTGTAACAGATTAACTTTCGTTTTGGGATTTTCTTGTTCATCTATAACTATAGTTTGGTACTTCTTTTTTGTGGTTTGAGTTTTTGTGCAGTGGTCCTTTTCGCTCTGTAAAAATTATTTGTTCCTGGTCCTGCACCTAGTTGTTACATACGGGTGGTGCCAAAATACTGGCCATGTAACTGAAATGATGCATCACATTTGATCTTTTTGTTTGTGGAATTACAGGTGAGGGAAATTGTTGCAGTGTTGGACCTTGATGTATTATATTATCCTTGCCCAAGAAATGGGCCAAATTTTCGTCCCAAGGTTGGCCAGATGGGTGGGAAACAGATGTTTCCATACATGGTACGCTAATACACCTCCATATCAAAATCTCATATATTTTTCTGAACAGATCGGATAGTTAAAGTTCATGAAGCAACTAGTACTAAAAAGTGCACAAGCTTAGCATTGATTTTTGTACGTTCTTGAAAGTTACCGAAATTGTTCAAATATGCAAGTGTTTTTTTTATTAACTTGGATCTCCAATCTGCTATGCGAGCCGACTAATCTCAGGGTGACCACCTGCTTTGCGGGTAGCCCAGAGTCACCACATTTGAACCTCCGTGGCCACAAGGGGATTTTTATTCCTCCTTGGATTTAAACCTGGGACCTCCAAACACTTTTGACCTTTGGAGCCCAAACTCAAACCAATCAGGCACCACCCTTATGGTTAAAATATGTAAATGTTATAATCATAGAGGGAGGTACAGGGGAAAACCTCAAAAAAATGAAAAAATGAGGAACACTCTGGTAACCATTCATCTGGACGATATGCATATGTGCATACAAGTAATTAAAGCAGTTTTTTTGGTTTTATGCACGTGTGCATGTTATGCACAAGTGCGTACCAGACAAATTGCTTACAAGTTACTTGTATGCACATATGCATACCGTCTAGATGAATGGTTACCAGGTTGTTCCTCCGTTTTTTCATTTTTTCACCTGAACCTAACCCTATAATCATAATTTATATATCTTCAGAACTTATCTTCACATATTTGATAATTTCAAGCATCTTTGTTGGTTCTGCATCATCATAATCATAGTCTGCTTGAATACTTATTATACAAATAATATATATATATATATATATATATATATATATATCCACATTTTCAAATTCATTTTCTCTTTTAATTGACATTTTCGTCTTGGATTTGTTCGTGCAAGTGGTCCTTGTAGCAGCAAACATGGTGTTTTGAAGAAAAAGGGGTTGATATAGTTTTGCTTTATATCATTATCTTATTTTTTAATTACAGGGTCTAATGTATGAACTGATCAGATAAAAATCATTATCTTCTTATTATCTTTTTGTTGCAGGTAGATCCAAATACAGGAGTTTCAATGTACGAATCAGATGACATTATAAAGTATCTTGCCCAGAAATATGGTTAGCACTCTATCTTGATATGCATCTTCTTTTCTTGTAGTTTTTTGTAGTTATTGTGTTGCCCATCCCTGAAATTACTTTCAAGTGCCATCCTGAAACTGAGAAACTCATATTTGGAATTTTACTTTCTCTCAAACTAATGTTGAAGCTGGAGACCATCCTATATGAAGAAATTAACAACATTATTCATCTACGTAAAAATCTTGTACTGTTGATCGATTTCAGATCTTTTGCCATTAAATATAAATTTTTTCAGAACAATGTTAAGAGAGATGGTGAAGCACTTGGCTTTTTTGGTTCTTAGTTATGTCTGTGCATCTGATAGAGCAGCATTTATGAGTGTGCCAGTATTTGACTGATCCTTTTTGTTCCCATCCTCATTTCCTATCTCCTTGAATCCTCATTTAGTGTTAGTCGTTTTGGTTTCTAGTTTGCAAAACAATGACCTTATAAATCTTTGTTGATTCCTTTATCCAGGAGATGGAACCGTGCCATTATCTCTGTCACTTGGTCTGTTGACAGTAAGTGATGCATCATCCAATATTGAATCTTCCAGATTATGCAAGAACATGTATACATCATACTTTTTTCAAATCATTCCTGCTGACTAATTCCGTTACAGACTTTGACCGCAGGTTTTGCCATGATTGGTCGTATGGGGAAGGTACAGTTTCAAACTTCTTAGTAATCATCACATGGTTTTTACAAATATGTTTTACATTTTAATTGAGACTCCTCTGGAGGGGACACACATATTGGTTCCTCCAGATATTAACATACGTATGGGCGTGATTGGTACGCAACTCGTGGTACAGAACTGGACATGACAAAACAAAGCTTTGTTCATGTTTGGCGTGACATTAGACTGGTACAAGACAGGATTGAGTGGGACATGCACAAAATAGGTGGAACAAAAATCAGAGAAATGGGAAACGATTGATAAATTACTAAACTACCCATATCAAATTAAAACCCGAAAACCTTGCATGATTCTTTCACCCGCACCTCACTCTTGGCCGTCCGGTCCTGTGCCTGTCCAATCCCGTCTGCCTACCAAACGCACCCTATATGTTATATAACAGTTCATCCATTCCTATGGTGTTGAGATCATCAGATACTGCTAGTTTTAGGTACAGGGCATCATAGACTTGCATTGAACAATCTCATACTTCTACCTCCTCAGGGAAGCATCTATACAAAGTCAAAGATGCCGGCACAACCTCTTGAAGTATGGTCCTATGAGGTAAGATCCATGCTTAAAGATTGAGTGCTTGAGGTGCTTATGTTGTACACGCTGTGTTAATAAACCAAATCAAATGAGCCCAGTATATCCGACACGAAGGTGGGTCGAGGCCTCAGGGGTATCATGTACGAAGACCTGACCTCTACCTCAAAGAGTAAAGTGGTTGTTTTCATGAAGACCCTCGGCTTGTGAAAAGTGTGTGAAAGAGAGAATTCCCAAAATTTTATAATTAGCCACTAAGTTTTCTTAATCTGATGGCACATATCCTTTTCAGGCATCCCCTTTTAGCAAACTTGTGCGTGAAGTACTTGTAGAGTTGGAGCTACCACACATTCTTCATAGGTAAGTCTTATCCTTGAAGTATATGTGTGCATATGCATTAGTTAGTACTCCGTTGCCAAAAAGGTGCAATGTTTTATCTTTTTGTGATGTCCCTCTTTTTCATAGGCTATAATTTCACTTTGATTGAAAATGTGTGGAAGGATGCCACTCGTGTCCTATAACCTAGGGAGTTCACCTTTTTTTGTTTTCTATTGGATTTCACTGCTTTGCATGTTATATGTGTTCATTTTTAGCCTACCCCAACTAGTTTAGGATAAAAGATTAGTTGTTGTTGCACTGAAAAACCTTCATTTATCATGTGTGCAAAAGCATTTGTTGGCCATTTGTAGGAATGAAAGCATATGCTAAGTGTGCTTGTAGTTATAGATTTAGCTTTTTTCACACCACAGTTTTTAGAGAGGGAAAATTGCATGAAAATGCAACGTACTTTGGTCCGATTCCTATTTTTATGTAACATACTTTCAAATTTCTTATTTTGGTACACCCTAGGCGTGACATCTCAAACATTTAGGTACTTAGTTCACATATGAGAATGATGAAAATGCAACCTACTTTGGTCTAAATGTTTGAGATATCACATTTAAGTTACAAAAATGAAGGTTTTGAAAGTACGTTACACAAAATAGGAGGCGGTCCAAACTATCTTGCATTTTCATGCAAATTGTCCTCTCTGAAAATCTATGGTTCGTAAAATTTTCCAAACAAGGAAACGTTGACAGACAGTTGGTAAGAAGTGACAGCTTATTAATTCTGTGGCTTATTTAGAGAAAACCAACATCTGGCCTACCACCGAAGTAATATATAAGCAAAAGGCAAAAAAGTGCGCTTGCGTTGACGGAAATGTGGCTCATTTTATTTATAAATAACATCAATCCTTCAGGAGGTGCAATTTATCTTGGAAGTATGTTGTAAAGTTTAAAGTAGTTATAACATTTTTCTAAAAATCTTCAAGAACTTATTTGAATTTTGATGTGAAATCCGGAATCAGATCCATGAAACTATCCAACTTTAACAGTTCTTATCATCTGTCTCAATGGAACATGGAAATAGAGCACATATGGTTCAGAAAAGAAGAACATAACAAGTTTAGTGGTTTGTTAAGATTTTTTTTCTAAATTTTAATTCATTTATAATCTCAAAAGTTAAATTATGTCAACATATGAAATAGAATAAGCAGCATCTAAGAATATCCACAACCAATCATAAGATGACAAAGGAATAGACTATATCTTGAACTTAGGAATTGAAGATAGAAAGTCATACTTAGGCACAAAAACAATAAATCCGTTTGGTCTTATCTTCACGGTTCTTGCTTCAGTGCCTGTAGTCCTTTCCCTGAAAAATATGCATAAACGTTCTTTTACATCATACCATGTAAAAAGTAGGCATAGAAATGGTTTCATCTTCTTGGGGGAGAGGAGGGTGTTCAATTCTCATGGTAGCATGCTTTACAACTAGAACATTCTTGCTTCCAGTTGTGCTCGTGGCAGCCCAAAACGACAAGAATTATTTGCGAGGGTCGGGAATTTTCAGGTACTTTCTTTTTCAGTATCACAAGATTCGTATATCATTCAGAAATTATATGCGTTTATGTTTTCTCCCGGAGATGAATTGATTCACTTTCATTGACAGGCACCTTACTTAGAAGATCCGAACACAGGGGTGAAAATGTTTGAGAGTGCTGAAATCATCGACTATTTAAGAGCAACTTACGTTCTTTGAGAAGAAAGGCGATCTGATGGCTAAGGTTTCTCTCGATCCCTTTTTATGTGTATTAATTTGATAAACTTCAAACCCTCTTTTATGTGAAGGTATATTGCACTAGAAATATGTTTCCATGGAAACATTAAAAGGGTACATAAATTATTTCAAATACTGATCAAATGATTGTGTTCTTGGTTCTAGAGTTTGGACTTGTGATCTAATTCTTGATTCCATACATATATGAACATGCTCACATGCTCTCCCGGGTTGGATAATGGACCGGGAGAAGATTTTTGGTTCACTTGGCTACCAACTTTTCTTCTAGAATCAACGCCGTAGCTTAAAATGTCTCTTACTACAACTCATATCATATATTATCCCGAGAAGAAGATAGAGGGTGAAAGGGTAAAGCGGTGGCAGTAGGTTACTCGGGTCTTACGTCCAATAGAGGGTTTTCTTTGTTTTTCTGTCTTTCTTGTCTACTGTATCTACTTGTGTGTTGTACACTAGTTTTAACTTTTCTGGAGTCTCTAATCCTGTGTCTTAAGCTCAGAACATTAAGAGTATCAACGGCAGGCAGCGTTTAACTTTAGCCATTTTGGATCGAGGGCAAGTGTGATCCTCCCCACAAAGGCTTTTCAGCTTTGCCAGAGTCGGGGGTCTCCTTAGAAACGTCCTCTGCATATATCCTACCCCCAGACCCTATCTTCAGGTGAGATATACTATGTTTAAACCCTTTCGTCTGTATGTGTAAATGTGTAAGCACGCAGACGTGCGTCTTTCCTGCTGTGAGCCACATACTTCCGTGCGTGTCTATACTCTATCCTGCAAGTAAATTTGTTGTTTTTTTAATTAACCTGGATATCCAACCCGCTATGCGAGCTGACTAATCTCAGGCTGACCACCTGCTTTGCAGATAGCCCGGAGTCACCGCATTTGAACCTCTATGGCCACAAGGGGATTTTTATTCCTCCTTGGATTTGAACCTGAGACCTCCTGGTACTTTTGACCTTTGGAGTCAAACTCAAACCAGTCCGGCACCACCCTTGTGGTTAAATTTGTTATTATCGTTTTAAGATGCAGGAATGTAGGAGCCTTAACCAGGTTGAGCAATTGTTGTTACCGTTGGTCATTGGACTCTTGTCGACTAGGCTCTAGGCTGACTCATCTTTGCAACCTCATCACTCTTTTTAGGGTTTAGCAAATCATAGTCTCGATTCAAAGGGGTTAAAGCTGGTGCTCCTGAAATGGTACAGATGGTGTTAATCTTATATAATTATCTACTTTTTGTTTCACAAACACGTTGAAAAGATTCACATTATGAACTGAGTGTATATTAACTACTATATTAAATTCTAGCCATATCTGAAAAAAATCATATAAAATAACATATAATACACTGATTGTCACAGATGGAGTTTTCTATAAATAAAAAAAAAAGTTCCCCATACATGTTCCACTTATTAGAATAAACAATTATTTTTAATCCAATTATCAAATTAAAAATATGTCACTGTTTATTAATATTCATACAATATAAAAAGACACTGTAAGAAAGTGAAATGTATCTGTTTTGGTTTTGAATTTTCAAAGCATATTTTCAGTAACCCAGTTTTTTCTTTTATGACAAAACATTTCAAATAAAAAGCTCAATAAAAGAATTTTTTTCCTAGATTATCTATACTTATATTATAATACATTTGATAAAAACTTTTAAAAATGATCTTTTATACATGAAGTACTGTTTATTGATGCATATTACTTAAAATTTAAGATTACAAGTAAATTGTGTATAAGTACAACTTATTAAAGCTCCATTTTGAATTCGTGTAACTAACTGTAGATAAATATAATCAAATACAAGATAAAATTCTCATTTTAAATATATCAAAAATATAATTAAGATAATTTTTGAGTTCTAACAGAATACTTAGTTATTATCTTTATAAAAATTATATTATTCAACCAAAAGAAAATTACTTCGGCATTAAACTAAATTAAGTTATAATAAAAAAAATTGAATTAAAAGAAATTTCACAAAAAAATGAGAAATTTTATATATATATTTTTACTTTTTATGATATTTTCAAATTCATATTAAAAAAAAATTATTGTTTGTTCAAAATCACATAAACCATATTATAATATCGATAGAGACTAAAAAAATAAAACGAAATATTGAAATTAAGATATATCTTGTTGAATTGCACGTATAACCTTCTAGTATAACTATAATATGATATAAGTGTTTATTAAAGAAATTATAGTATGCTATTTTTAACTGCATTCAATATGTTTCTTTAATAGCATTACAAAATTTTGTTGAAAATTACAATTTTTGTCCATATGTTTTCAAAATTACAATTCTTATCCTTATTATTTATAATTTATTGGTGTTTTTGTCCTGATTTTCACCATCTTTCCCTTCGTCTTTATGGTTTATAATTTACTAGAAGGGTATCGGCATAATGCAGTGAGGTACATCTCGATTTTAATGTTACTTTTTATTTTGTTTCCCTGTCAATGTTATATACGGTTTTATGTGGTTTTGAGAAAAACGATAATGTTTTTATTTTTAAATAAAATATAAATTTAAAAATATCTTAAAATTAAAAAAAAACATATCTTAATATCAAATTAACTATTTAAAAAATCTTGTTTTGTTGTGTAATTTTTTTAATTATAGTTTAATTTAGGTTTAATAAGAAAGTAATTTATTTTTGATTTAATAATATAATTTTTATAAAAATAATAATTATATTCCGTTAGAAGATAATGATTATCCTAATTATATTTTAAATTTTTTATATTTAAAATGAAATGTCTATCCAGTATTTGATTATGTTTATCCGTAGTTAGTTACACAAATTCAAGTATGAAGTTTTAATAAATTGTACTTATGCATGATTTACTTGTAATCTTGAATTTTAAGTAATATGCATCAATAAACAGTACTTCATGTATAAAAAATGATTTTAAAAAGTTTTTGTCAAATGTTTTATAATATAGTATAAATTATTGTTTTTGTCCTTCATACTTAATGGTAAACCACTAACGAAGTCAAACTCAGAGACGTAACCAACATAAATTACAAATCATACAAAACAAAAACCATAATTTTAAAAGCACAAAAACAAACGTCCATAACAATTAACAAACCACATGAACGAAAACATAGTTTACTCTAAAAAATTAAGGGTGTGTTTGGTGTGGGAACATGACAGGACATGACAAGACAACTGTTCAACGTTTGGTAAGATAAAATTAGATAGAACAGAACAAATAAAATGACCAATTTACCCCTGATGAGTTGTTTATTTTAATTAATCTATGTAATTTATTAAATTATAATAAAATATTTATTTTTTATAACAAAATATATCATTTGAAGTTTTCGTCAAAACAATTAAAATGACACCAAATAAAAAGTTTATGTAGTTTTCTATTTTTATCTATTTTTTACATTATTTTTTATTATTAATATATAATAAATTACATAAATTAATAAAAATATAGAAACCGTATAAAAACAATATTTTGAGGACAGTAAAATGAAAGTTTAAGAAACATAAAATACAATAAATAAAATTTAAAGAATGAATAAAATATAAAAAAAGAGACATATTAGACGTTTTAGAAGAGAATTATGTTTTATTTTGAGGTTATATTGGTAAAATATAAGTCTGTTCCATCTTGTTCCACCCTATTCCATGGGTACGGGTGGAACAGGCCTGTTCCACTTTATTCATGTCTGTTCCATATAAAATTCATGTCAAACATAAGACAGGGATCCCTGTCTTATTCTGTTATGTTCCTGTCCAATATACCAAACATAACTTAAAAGTGAGAATAACATGAGGAATCAATAAATAGAGTGGGTCAAATTGGATGAACTACTAGTCTCCCCCAACCCACCCAGCCAGCCACCCACCCAGAAAAGGGAAAGAGAAAAAAGTAAAAGGTGGGGATGGGTGCTTAATATGAAAAGCCAAAACTTAGGGTTCTTCCAAGAAAGAAAGACAATCAAAAGTGTGGAATTAAATGCAACTCTTTGACCAAATTAGGTACTCCATAAAGACTATAAAAGTTAAAATCAATCTCATAAAGAATTATATTAATGTTTATTAATTTTTTTATTAAGTCATGTATGGATAAATTTGTTTGTCTAGATAAATAGGTGTTGTTGTTTACTTTTTTTATTTGAATCAACAATTTGAATAACACAAATGACCGATTTACCTCCAAGGCCCCAATATTAATTATTTGAACATTAAAACAAAAAATTCATAAAGAGGCCGACGATGGAGTGTCTCATCTGGGAAGGAGGCGGTGGTTTAAATAAGGGGTAGGGATGTTATTTTTGTGGCTGAATGGGGACAACACACCATCTCTATCTGTGTGATTAAGCCATAATTTGTGCGAATAAGCCGTAAGTAAATAACCCAAATGAGCTGTACAAATAAGTCAGATAGACCAATAAGCCTATTTAAGTCGCAAGTAAACAACCCCTAAGTGTTAATTGAATAAAGGGAAAAAAATGACAAAACTAACCATTTTATACAACCCTCTTCCACAAAATAACCATTTTTTAGGGGATTTACAAAATTAACCACACGGATCTCCCCTGGGGGCGATCCGCCTTTGTCTTAGGAATTTTTTTTTGTTTTTGTCTACTTGGGGCGAGCCACGTCATCGGATCGCCCCCGGGGGCGATCCAGGCTTTAAGTTTTTTTCTTTTAACTTTTTTTTCTTTTTTTTAATACCAATTTCACTATAAATAACAACCTCCTATTTCATAATTTTTTACACATTTTCTTTCATTTCTCTTCTCATATATTCTACTTTCACAACCCTTAACCCATTAAACACAATAAACCATCACAAAACATGAAATCACGTCAAAGTGATGATGTTTGTAAGTATCTTCAAAGTGGCGGTAACATTTATATATATAGAGATGCATTACGTAAAAAAAAACGATATAAACGGTACAAAAATTGAAACTTCGTATTTTATACGTATATATGCGTACGGATTTTAACACGTACACATATTAACGTATATACGTGTTTTTAACGTATATATGCGTACGGGTTTTAACCCATACGCATATTTACGTATCTTCACGTATGTATGTACGTATATATGTGTACGTATGTATATACGTATATATATATACCTACTTACATTTACGTAAAAAAACTATATAAATTGCGGTAACGTGTATATATATATATATATATATATATATATGCATAATGTAAAAAAAAGCGATATAAATTGCGGTAACGTATATATATAGAGATGAATAACGTAAAAAAAAGCGATATAAATTGCGGTAACGTATATATATATAGAGAGATGCATAACGTAAAACAAGCGATATAAATTGCGGTAACATATATATATATATATATATATAAATGCATTACGTAAAAAAATGCGATATAAACGGTACAAAATTTGAAACTTCGTATTTTAACGTATATATGCGTACGGGTTTTAACACGTACGCATATTTACGTATATTAACGTACGTATTTTTAACGTATATATGCGTACGGGCTTTAACCGCCACTTCGAAGATACACACAAAAATCATCACTTTGACGTGATTTCATGTTTTGTGATGGTTGATTGTGTTTAATGGGTTAAAGGTTGTGAGAATATAATATATGAAAAGAGAAATGAAAGGGAATGAGTGAAAAATTATGAAATAGGAGGTTGTTGTTTATAGTGAAATTGGTATTACAAATAAAAGAAAAAAAATTTAAAAAAAAAACTTAAAGCTTGGATCGCCCCCGGGGGCGATCCGATGACGTGGCTCGCCCCAAGTGGAAAAAAAATTAAAAAAAAATTTCTAAGAAAAGGCCGGATCACCCCCGAAATATACGGATCGCCCCCGGGGACATCCGTGTGGTTATTTTTGTAAAACCCCTAAAAACTGGTTATTTTATGTAAGAGGATTGTATAAAGTGGTTAGTTTTGTCATATTCCCTTGAATAAATAAATCAATTTAGATTGAAATTTTATTTTTAAAAAATTGTTGCATTTTTGTTAGGATTACCTTGAATGAAAAGGGTTGCTTCTTTTGAACCCAATAAAAAAAATATTAATATATGAAAATGATTAATTAATTAAAATAAAATTTTAATTCACGTTTAAATTATTATTTTTAACACGGATGTCTGAGTAAATTAGTACACACCTAAACTGATCCTAAGGGTTGCGAAAAACAGTAAGAAAAATCCTCAGTAACTTTATATAACTCGAACCTGTGACATCTGAGAAGGATTATATCATTTTTAACAGATTCTACAAAATGTAGATTTTGAGAATTTTTTTAGTGTTGAACCTTGAAAACTTTCTTTAAAATATAGAAAGACAGTAAAATTTTGCACATTTAGAGAACTCTTTAAAAATAATTGTTTAAAATAGGAAATGATATTTTATTAAATATATTAAATATTTAATAATAAATATAAAGTTGTAATGCTTAAAATGGAAAATATGTTGCAGTTGAATATACATTTTCTCTGTTAGGGACCGTTTATCCAATTGCTTACTCGGTAAACGATTACCAATAAGAGTCAACACTATGATATATTTGATGTGTAAGATTTTAGTATATCAAAACATATCGAATGCAACAATTTACTGGGTTACCTATGTAAGAGTCGTCATCTTCACTTACCGGGTAAAACTCTTCATCCTTCTTATTGCTCTTACCCGGTAAGATTCTTCTCCCTTCTCATATTCATTCGATGAGGAAATTTATCTGGCAAACACTTACCAAGTAAGTGTTTAGTAAACGGCCAAGTAAGTGTTTAGTAAACGGCCCCTTAGTCGAAGTCTGTAACGACCATATCCACATCCAATGTGAATTGAGTTCATCTTAATTGTTAAGTCGGTAATTTTAGATACTAAAAATTGTTTTTTTAGATTTATTTATTTACTTGAAGAGCATATATTCGTTGTTGTGAAACAAATTAAACATAATGCGGTTTGATAAAAATGTAAAATGCAAATTACACCGCAAAAGTTTTAAACCGCGCTTTATCGTGAGGACGGTTTAGATGAACACTCGTAATTTTAATAATGATGTGGCGATAAAATCAAGTCTTAGAACTCAGGTGGAGGTTACAACGTTTTTAAAAGCGTGCTTATGGCTCTAAATCTGTATTATATATATATATACACATACACACATGCACACGCACATACACAATATTAAAACTTATATATATATATATATATATATATATATATTTATACATATGATTTATCAAACTACAGAACCGCACCACACCCTGTATTTTGTATTTCTTTTAATTTTATATATATAACACACATATGTAAAGAAAATTTTTGTACTTTAGATTTTAGATTTTTAGTTTGATTTAATATGACAATTGGCAATATTAATAAATTAGTTGGACATGTCATAACTCACACGTCCAATTTAATTTGAGGTTTATTCTTTTTATTTAAACTATATTTTTTTTATTAACCTGGATATCCAACCCGCTATGCAAGCCGACTAATCCAGAGCGACCACCTGCTTTGCAGATAACCCGGAGTCACCGCATTTGAACCTCCGTGGCCACATGGGGATATTTATTTCTCTTTGGATTTGAATCTGGGACCTCCTGGTACTTTTAACCTTTGGAGCCAAACTCAAACCAATCATACACCACCCTTATGGTTTACTTCTTAAACTATTTCTAATTATGCAATATGTATTTGAGAATCAGATATTGAAACTATTTATTTATTTTTATACTACAATCACTTTATCGTCAATTTTATGGTGTAATTGGATTGTAGGCATAAAGTGTGATAGGTACAAATCGTATAAACTGCATCGTATTTTGCGGTTTTTATACGGTACGATTTGTGGTTTAAAAAGAAATGTTCAAACCGTATATAACCGCACCGCAAACAACCCTGATTAAAACCTCAAATTTTACACCCGATAAAAAAACATATCAAAATTCAAAATAACATCAATTTTTAATCGCTTGTTTTTTGACTTTTTCCTAAGAATAATCTTAATAATTAATCTTTTTTTGAAATGTGATTTAAAAATATTTATTAGCTGTCAAGACGTGATTAACATGACAAGCCTAACCAATCAATGCCTTTAAAATTGGTTCAGAATTTTTTTATTAAATGCCTTTTTTTTATATTTAATCATTTTAAATTTATTTAATTAAAAAACCCATATAAATATTAACCTAACCCGTATCTTAACCCCCAAGCAAGCAAGCTAATCCGGTACCAATTTTTTAATTAAGAAATTATAATAAATTTATATTAATAAATTATTTATAGTTAAGAAATTATATATAAAATTACCTGCTAAATTTTCCAAGTATATTGAAAAAAAATTAATTTTGCAATCAACATATTATTTATTACAACGTGCTCAGATTTAAACGGTTTAATCCTTCAAACCATGAACTAAACTATGGTTTAGAAAATTTTCATATATCTCCAAAATAAAACTTATATTAAAAAATAAAATTATGAATTATAAAAAACATTTATCTCAAAAATAAAAAATTATTGACAAGTTGAAAGAAGTTAAATTAAGTCCACCACAATAGTTTGAATTTTGAACAATCATTAAGCAAGTTGAAAGGCGATCTGAAATTTTGGATTTTAATTTATGGCGGATTTCGAAAATTTTGCTGGTTTCGGAAACGCAGACAATTTAGAAGTGAAAGCTCATAACAGTTGAGTCAACAACATGAAAACAAAACATATGTATTTTGATGGTCGGTTCAGTCCAAACCGCTCAAAAATGTGTTCAAGCTGCAAAACCGACCAAACCAAGCGGTTTAGCTATTTTTCAAACTAGACTGGATTGTCATACCGCTCAAATTGCCAAAAACGGTCCGGTTTAACTTCGTTCAAGTGGTTTTTAAAACACTACTCCAACAAACGTACACTATGTATGCTATTATTATTACATAAAACAATACATATATATACAATAGTAGTTTATAATTTACACTCTTCAAACCAAATAAAAACACACAATCAAACATCGTTGTCATGAGACCAGTCATTTTTCCAGAGTAATAAATAAATCAGGCAAAACAGATTAAAAACGTCATTATACTTGTATATTTTTAATAAGAGTTACTCTCGTAAATTCGTATTCTTGTAATGACGATTTTGTAAAAAATATTAATCGGTTTGTTAATAATTTAAAAATATTATAATTATGAATATATATTGATAAAAGAATTTGTTTCAGTAAAATATAAAAGTATTTTGACGTTTTTATTATTTACCCATTAAACTATAAACTGTATTTTAGAAATACATTAAATTAATTAATTTAACTCCGGAAAAAAGATTAGCCCAAAATCAAACCCAACAGAAAAGAGAATAAACGAACCGTAAAAACCGGTCTACGTTTGACGAAACGCAAAAATTCATTTTTCCATGTGCCACGTCAGCTAAACAAACTTCCACGGTAGTCAACGGTGGGTTCCCAGCCTGTCCCCACGTCGTCAACGTGGCTATTAACTCGTCGATCGGCGGCCGGCGATGTCGATATTATCGGTCCAGGACTCTGAACGGCGGCCGGAAGCGAATCGATTCATGCCTCCTAAAGCAGGTGGAGCTGACGGTGTTGCTGGTTCACTGTTGACCGGTTTTACTGTGACGCTGCTCCTTCTTGAGGCGGACTTTTCTAAGTGTTCGTTCAATTTCACCGACGATTTGTTGTTTTTTCTCCGGCGGGAACCTTCGGAGCGGAATAACGACGTTATACGAGAGATAATACCCTTTTTTTGTCCTTTACTGGTCTTTTCTGGTTGAATTACAGCTACAGGTTTCTCCGACCGAGTAGCCGCAACAGATGACCTCCTGCGGCTGCGGCACCTCTTCGATCTGACTCTTCCTATACACGATACCTTCGGAGAAGACGGTTCCGTCACCGGTACAGCTCCTGGCGCCCTTCCGCCGGAACTCGATCGTTTTGGAAACAGCCGTATGTTCGCCGGTTTACACTGCCTGTACTTTGATTCAACGTGAGTATTCCTCTGCGTCTTCGGCAAACCGAGAATCGCGGCTTTTGATTTCAAGTTCACAGAAAAACGCTGCGAGTTGGAATGAGAGTAGGTTGGATTTACATTCGGATTCAAATTCTTCGAATTCGACGCCTTCGTTGATTCCTTTCGCTCTAAGAAAGCATTACGATCAAACCAGTCGAATTCAGAGTCTTTGGATAGCCAAAATGACTCCGGTGGAACGAATTGAGAGCTGTCCGGAATATCAGGATCTACCTCCGCCTTGTATTCCCCGTCCTCCAGCGTCTCGGACCCGATCTTCCGATCGCCGGCGCCTCCTACCGGAACTATTGTTTCTGTATCAACCTGTGGCATTCTGGGTTCACAATTTCCTGATTTCACAAATCTGTGTTTGAATTTAGAGAGAGAATCCCAAATGGAAGAAATTATAAAGAGGGGTTTTAGGGGTCTCTCCTCCTTTCCATGTGATGACTTTCGTACAAGTATTAATGCATAGGGAACAAGTTGTTACAACGGCATTGCTCATCATTCGGAATTATGGTTCTTAAAATATATGAATATGTTCGGCTTTTGACTTTTTAATTAATAAAAAATGCAAATTAAAATTTTCTATAACATAAACCCTACAAAGGTTGTTTGTTTATCTCTTAATAGTTCAATTAAAAAATAATCTCTGAATTGTTAAGAGGTGAATCTTGTTTGACAATAAAAAAGTCTGTCTCTTAATAGTACTAAAATCATCCGAATGATTTTGTATCATAGATCTCCCTTAACCATTAAGAGCCCTAATTTCATTGTATACAATTACCAAACAATTATATTTCATTTTGTATTATATAATCAAAGTCTCTTAATCATTCTGACCACTTAATCATTTTACACCAAATCATTCAACAATTGCCAAGCAGCCTCTATAGCAAAATAAAATGGTTAACGGGTCATTTACTATATGCTTATCGGTTAAGTGTTTATTAAGTATTGCTTATCTTATCGGGTGAGTATGATAAAGTTTGAGAATTTTACAAGGAATAGTAAAGACCAATAATCTTATCCGGTAAATGAGAGAGAAAATTGTTAACCCCGGTAAACGTTATCGAGTTACCATGTAAAAGATGTTTACCAAAAATCCATTTTGGTGATCAAAAATGTTACTTAATGAGAGTGGTGACCATTGTCGGTAAACACTTACCCTGTAAGTGTTTGATAAACAACCTAAAACATTAAAAACTTGAAGATGAGATAACATGGGTTGTTGATTCATCAACACTCTTTTGTTGAAAGCTTGGTATAATATTAGATGGTTTCAGGATGATATACTTGTCAAAACAGGTGTTAGTTCGAGTCTGACAGTTTTCTACACTGTAAGACAAGGGCGGAGCCAAATTTTTTGTCTACAGGGTGCATTTTTAAGGTGGTTCACAAACCTGCAAAGTTACCCGATGTGTTTTTTAGCCAGATTTTACCGTTTCCTGGGATTCCTTAACTTATGTGGTTGATTCAATAATTTTGAAAGATTTTTCAGTTGATATCGAGAGATTTTTGTTGGTTTTTTGGTTAATTTCGAAAAACTTTTTTGGTTTTTTTAGTTGTAGTCTCTTGTATCTTTTAACATCCTGGGGCACCCCTCAAAGTTTAATGAATCAAACTTTCACAAACCCAAAAAAATGTATACCTGTTGAAAATCAGTTGAACAGGTACATGAGACTCTGCTGGAGATTTTATAATTAATTTAGGCTATTGGTGGATACCGTGTTTTTAAATCACCCACTAACGAATCACTATACAATTGATTTACCTCTCATATTATACTTTTGACGTAACATGGTATAAACTGACTGTTTCAATTGTTATTGGTTTGAACAGTTTTTTATCTTTATTTTTAAATTTTATAATTTTAATATGATTAGAAAAACTTTTATTAAAATAATTATTTAACAAATTCATATACAATCTATTTTGAAAACCATAAAAAGTCAAGTATATACTTTGACGAGTTTTGAACGTTTGATTTACTTTTACCAATTTGGACTCAGAAAATAAAGGTATAATTTCAATATTTTAATATTAAATATTCTTTTTATATAATTTGGAGAGAGGTTTTCCACTACTTTGAATTTGCATTCGTTATATTTTTATATAAATTTAATCTTAAAATAAACACAACGACGTTTCAAAATAGATGTAATTTTTCTAATCAAAAGTAATATTTAAATATTGAATATATTTAATAGATTCCTCAAATTATAGAAAATTATTTTTTTATTTTGTTTTAACAGAGTTTTTATATTGTTCTCTAAGACAGCAAAAAACTGTAATTTTAAAGAATTATTTAAAATTTGGCCTAAAGAAAAATATATTATTTTGTTATTCATTTCTACCGATGAAATGGAGTTATTATTATTTTATATAATATTTTTTTAAAATATTTTGAGATCGTAAAATTATAAAATATTTTAATATTATAAATAATGTTGAAATTTTAAAAATAAAGAATCTGTTCGAATTGAATGTAATGTTTCTACAGATTTCAACTTTTTGTTCTTTATTTAAGAGAAATTATAGAAAATCTGTTGGAGTTAAATATAAAGTTTCAGAGATTTCAATTTTTTGTTTTTTATATTAGAGAAATTATAGAGAATCTGTTGGTGATGATTTAACAATATTTTTTAAACGAATTTTCATTTTAGCAAACGTATTTTCTTTATTCAATTTAGACAATATTTATTGTGTATTTTAACCGGCAGGTTTAACCGGCCCCACATGAAACTCGTCTTTAAAAACACCAATATGAAGAGCTGTTTTTTTGGTTCATTTAACGGCTGAGATAGTAGGGAGGATCGAACCTGATCTCTCTTCTCTTTTATTTAGACAAACTCATCATGTTTCTTTGTCAACTGAACACACACAAAATACTGTCTATTTTAAGTAATATATTTAAACTTCTATTACTATGTGAATAAAATGATGTAACTAAATTATATAAAATGTGTGAAATTTAAAAAATAATAATAATAATTTTGCGTGAAAAACGTTTAAGGAATTAAATGAGAATTTATTTAAAATATGTTACTATTTTAAGTATTTTCGACTCGTTATTATTTATTTTCTTTTGATGATTGTTATAAGATATTTTTGACATTAAGGGGCCGTTTACCAAACACTTACTCAAGTAAACACTTACCAAGTAACATTACGTCACCGTATGAATATGATAAAGACCAAGAATCTTATCCGGTAAGAGCGAGACAAGGACCAAGAGTCTTACCCGGTAAGTAAGGGCGACGACTCTTACCATGGTAAGGCTTACCATGTAAATTGTTGCATACGATGTCGTTTTGGTGGACTAAAATCTTACCAGGTAAATAAATAATAGTGTTAAATTTTACCGATAAGCACTTATCGAGTAAGTGTTTGGTATATGGCCTATAAGTCCATCGTACGGATTATATTGGAAAATAATATGAAATCTGAATTTCAAGGTTTGGTTAAAAACCTTGTGCTACATAAATGTGAAAAGTTCAAATGGTTGGTATGAATAACCTTTCTTAAATTAATTATTTCACTTATGGAAATGTAGGGTCCGTAACGTCAATTTAAACGTGTGTGTCACGTCAAATGTACATAAACGTTTTTCAACTTATAACAAAACATGATAAATGTCACAAATTTACGTCCATGTAGTTTGAAATATGTTGAATCGAGTACAGTTTTAACCATAACAGGTCAAATTAAAATATGAGTTGATAAAAAACGAGTCAAAGATGATGTGTAGGTGACGTTTGTTTTTTTAAGAGGTGTTGAAGTCTGATTTTACTTCTGATTTATAAGAGTTGATCTTGAAGTCTGAAATCTGGATCATTAAGATTGTTTGTTTTTACGTCTGAAATCTGGATCATTAAGATTGTTTGTTTTACGTCTGAAATCTGAATCAAACTTGTGCAAAAATATAAAAGATAAATAGTTTTTGCTTACAGATTTCTTCCAACCCTAAATTATGAACCTTTGATAGATGGAGGATTAGAATTAAGAGGTATTAAGATATGTGTTTACCACTTAAAATTTCAAAGGACATTGAAAGCTTTTAAGCTCTTATTTTATAAACGAAACAAACACTCTTAATACCCAAACGTCTGAACGAATCAGACTTTGGATTTACTAAAAGGTAATTTTGAAAAAACAAACAAGGTCGTAATGTATTCAAACATTTACAACATACATAATCATGTTCTTAAAAATATATTCGATTATCTCGTAAGTAGCATATTTTTAATCATATTTAATACATCAGTTATATCTTTTTTTTTAAATTAAACAAAAAATTGTTTAATCCACCCTACTTTAACATGTATTAGAAAATTACATGTTTTGATCCACTCCATGACCGATATTTTTGTTTGCAGTTGTTGGAAACACTGTTATATGATATATCTGTTGTGCTTTATGGGTTTTTATACTCCTTTGCTGTTACAAAATCCTGGTAAAGCTTGTTTTTATTTTTCTATTACGACTATGGGTGTCTAGACGAGTACAAACACGTCACTTAATTTTATAAAGCCCTGAAATTAACAAACGGAAAATCTCTAACAAGACTTACAAACATAAAACCTTTTCGTTGTGATGGTTCTCGTAGCTTTCTTTGGTATATCATCTTTAATTCGGAATCGAGTACATTATGCTCTTGGGTCACCGATGCTTTTCTTGATGATTCTGTATCTACCCTTTAAGATTAGTACTTAGAATCTTTTGGATTAAATCAGCTTGGTGTGTAGCTAAAAACAGTTCGGTAACTCGAAGAGAAGTCGACATCAAAGGATGTGCATCTATCAATGCGGATCGATTGTTAGAACAGATTCTTAATCTCTTTTTATTCCGCAACAATTATGTTATTAACTATGTCAATTATTTTAGTGATTGTTATTCAATATTTTTAGACTCAAAATGCAAATATAAAAATTCACTAAATGTTTATATAACTAATAAATAATTAAAATAAATATTAACTTAATTATTAATTATATTTAAAAATATTAATTAACTAGGATATGTGAGGCTGACAAGTTTTATTGTTATTCATATTGTACGTATTAATTATTTAAAATCATAGATCAATGTAGATTTTTTCTAAAATTTGTTTTAACAAATTCAAAATTTATAGTATACATATAATAGACAATTTTAATTTTTTTTCTCAATTAACATATTATATTATTTAATTATTTATTTACTATCTTGTTTTTTTATTAATAAACATATTATATTATTATAAATTTATTTGAATCATATTATGAAATATTTTCAATAAGTCATTTTTAATCATTTCAAGATGACTATTTTATATGCTTATAAACTAGTTT